GTTTTGAAAGAGTTTATAAGCCCCTTTGTTGAATCATCATCTAAAATAGTTAATGCTGAAAAGAAATGTAAAGGATTCAGAGAAATAATATAATCAGAATTGTAAAATAGTTTTCCCATGTGGTGTAGTAACTTTAGTTATTTTTTTCTGAAGGAGATGAATTTAATATTAAAGTAGTTGTCAGGAAAAGGGAGCAAACAGACAGGAAAATGAGGGGTGATACCAATGCCACTTAAACAAGGCAGGCATAGTCTGATTGATAGTGTAAGTAACTGAATACAATCACAAAAGCTGATGCCTTCATGCTGATGTTCAAATCTAGACTGTTTCTCTCTGTATCATTTAGAAATTAATTAAATTTTCAATGAAGCAACATGCAGGTAAGATGCCTACCCTCTCATCACGTGGCTGTGAAAATTAAGGACCTGATATACACAATGCATATAGAATGCCTAGCAGGCATTACATCCCAAACACGTCTACATTATTATCATCATTAAAATGATCACTGTGGATATGGTGAGCATAATCCTAAGAACAATCTTACAATAATAATTTGGTACAGCCAAAGATACATTATTGTGCTGCAGGATGGTTAATATGAACAAACATCAAGTTAACCTACTTGATGGGGGTGGCATGCCTACTGGTCCAACATTAGAATCTCCTGCAAGCCTGAAGGCTGGATTCAGGACCACAGATGAAAACGCTGAGCTCATTCGAAGAGTTCTGGGTTTAGCAAGGTGACTGATGAGACAATGTAGATTGAACAACACCAATTCATGACTCAGATTAGATAGAATGAACCCATGAATGTATCCTATTGATCATGTGTTCATTATACTATCTGAATTTCTTATAGAGTCTAAGATTGTAAAAATACCCAACAAAGATCTAGAGCCAAATATTTCATTTTCTGCAGAAAAAAAAACAATGGTCTTGGGGTTAATCACTGAGTAACCAAGGTCACGTGAGTACTTCATGGCAGAGCCATTACTCTGGGCTGGTGGTTTGTTTTGTTCCATTTTTCCATTATCTCACATTCTCTGGTTATAGAATATTTTATTAACTTTAAGAAATCCCTTTTAAAGTTCTAATTTTTGCAGTGTAGTTTATTTTTCCATGATGAACAATTCCCAAATGTATGATAATTTGACTTTTAATTTTCTTTTTCATTTTCTAGGCTGAAAGGGTGATATATTCAGTAGAAACTGTATCTTGTTACCAAATGAAGCCTCAAGTACTGGGGTTGCATTACATCTCATTGAGTTGTTGGTCAAGGAGGTCTCATGGGAACCCCCAAACAACCCAGACTATTGCCTAAACTATAGATTGCTCTCCATAAACTTACAGCCAAGTCCCATTGCTTAAGACAACACCTACAACAGCTTGCTAAACACGAAGAAGTTGAGCTGGTGTCTACATTGGTGTCCTAGTGTTTGGTATAGGAAGGTACTCTGCTTACTACCAAAGGAGAAACACAAATATCAACCGAGCCACAAACCCTATGACTTGCAATAGTGTCCTGCCTGCAAGATATGCTAGGGCAATGGTGGCACAAAGCTTGTGGGAAAAACTAACTAGTATCTGATGTGAATTAAGGACCACTCCACAAGATAGAATCCATACCCAACACTGCTTAGGTGAGCAAGAACCTGAGACTAGATAGCCCAGGGAACCATAGTAAAATTAATTACTACTACTATTAGAAAAGTAGAAACAAAATGACTCATACTGACATTCTGACATACTCATAGATCAATGTCTTGCTCAGTTATCATCTGAGAAGTTTCCTTCTGCAGCAGCATATGAGTGAGAATGGCTTCCAGTGGGCTCATATATTTGAATATTTGGTTCCCAGTGAGTGGAAGTGTTTGGAAAGAATTAGGAGGTGTGGCCTCGTTGAAGGAGGTGTGGTAGGGGATGGGCTTTGAGATTTCAGAAGCCCACATCATTCTTAGTGTCTCTCTGCCTAATGCTTGTATATGAGGTGTAAGCTCTTAGCTACTGTTCCAATGCCATTTCTACCCTCCTACTACCATTGCCATGCTCCCCACCATGATGATCACGGACTCGACTCTCTAGAACTGATACCGTCAGGTAATTGCTTCCTTTTGCAAGTTGCCTTGGTCCCATTATCTCTGAGAAATAAAACGTAACTAAGACAGTGCATTTAATGGAATCCAGGATTACAGACTTTCAGTTCATAATTGGCTTACTAAAGCTTAACATCTGCTTAACGAATGTCTGCTTAAAGACTTGACTGCAATGATAGGATTGGGGAGTTTTTGTATGGAATTTATTATGCAAGATGCTAGGATGCATTTTAAGGTATTATTGTTCATGAGATGTAAAGACTGACATCACTTGACTTCAGTTGTTCAGATTGTTCTGAGAACAGCTGGCTGGGAGTGGGGAGGCAGTTGAGTTGGGTGGTTATTGTGCTAGGCTAAGTAAAGGAAGACCACACCTTGGAGGAGAATAGCAATATCAGAAATCTTCAAATCCTGAAATAATGACTTGATGGGAGTAATGGCAAATATTCCTGATACACTGTAAAGTGTGAAGGGAAATAAGAGCCATGGAAGGGGGGCCGGTCAGTCTTAATTCAGGAAATTCTACTCATTTACAATGAAATATCTCCTGTTACAATCCACACTAAAACTTATTTGTCTTTCCCTATATAAAAAGAGGTCCTGCCCATTGTCACCTATACAATGTCCTCTTGTGAGTGTGGCAGCAGCTAGCCTTATACCATGTCAGAGGAAAGAAAATGAACTCGGCAAAGAGTGACTCCTGACTTTATAACCTGAAATGGTATCCTGGAAGTCACTGATAACGTTCTGGACTGTCTGCTGAGTAGAAGCTGAGCTCAGGCAGTGTCTACTGGCAGCACTCAGGACAGAACTAACCTGCTGAAAGAACAACTGGCCACCTGAGGGGAAGGCTGATCCCAAGTATGTATATGATTATAGCCAACATTGTCCCTTGCTCAGTTCCCAGTAGATTCATACCTGGATCTTAAAGGAGTATTATGAACACAAGCTATAAAATATTATTTTCTTCAAAACCTGCTAAGAGATAGAAATAAGAGCCAACACCAGTTTGATAGACCCTCACAGAAGGCAGCCTAGAGAGAAAAAGATAATTTCCCTCACTTTGGCAGGGTGTGCTACAATTTTGGCATGTCTCAAGAGCAGCAACCATTGGTGCAGGAGACAGTGTTCTTAGCAATGTGGGTACTTGTTTGGGCAACAGTTCCTAGGGGTTGAACAATAGAATCCATCGTGGTGGGGGCAGGCAGACAATAAGAGAAATGAAAGAAGTACAAGGGCAAGTGGCTGATCTCTCCACAAGTAGGTGCCCACGAGACTCTCAGAACTGCTTACATAAGCTTAGTTTCCTTGTTAGCATACAAACTAGAGCCAACAAGTCTGAGGTGTCATTTCACCACCTTTCCCAGCTTTGAACAACAGTGACAGAATGGATTTACACTGCACTTAGAGCAGCACATCAGAGCATCGTCCTCCATAAGCAGTTAGTCTGTGTACCCCAAAGCTCACATCTGGCACATCTGCTCAAAATTTCTTAAACCAAAGTAGATCACCCCCAAGATAATAAAGAGACCTGAGTGTTGGAAATGGTAAACATCAGATTTTTTTTAAAGTAAAAATTCTTTATAAAAAAAATAACAGTAACAGGCATTTTATAGAAGTAATTGAAGAGTGACTAGCGGGTGCCATCTGCCCTGGTGCTTATATTAAGAACAGCATTCTGAGTAACACTTCAACAGTGCTGTTTACATCCTTTCCCTCCTAAAGGAGACAGGAATCTTCTTCAAATGCATCTCTTTAAAGGGCCTGCTTTCTTATGACTATTGTAAGTGGTTTCACACTTCTGCATCATGCTGAAGAAGCCAAGGTGATGACTATGAGCACATGTGTGCCAGTCTTACCCAAACTCAGTAATTCCTGGGGTTTGAATCCCAATATGACCTGTCCACCATGCCTCCCTATCCCTGGAGAGTGTCTCAATGTCTCTTCGCTTGTTGGTTTGTATTTTTGTCCTAACTGTTTCTCAAAAGCCAATGAAGGGTCTCGGGCTGCTAATTCTGGATGATAGAGAGAGTGGACACAGGGCAAGAAGAGAGAGTTCACTGGGGACGTGCAGATGCTGATGCTACCATTTCCCAGCTTCCAAGAGAAGGGGCCAGCAATTGAGGTCATTCTGTAAGGGCAGCATGAACATACCCCATCCGGTGTAGGGGAAAGAGGGAGCACCAAAATCTGGAGAAGAGTCAGGGTACTTAGGACAGGTGCACCTTTGCTGAGATAGAATCAGTAGAGGAAATGGCATTTCATTTATGCAATACTAAGAAGATAACTTAGTAAGCAAAGAATCGATTTGATCAAAATTCCTGTGGGGAAAAAAATAAAGGATGCTGGGAATGGGTACTCACATACATTCATATCCTCCAGAAAGAGAAATGAGACATTGAATCCATCACAAGATACCTGCAAAAATCATACTGGAACACCATGAACTATCCTTCACACACACACACACACACACACACACACACACACAGCATACTGCATGTCTACAACTCCATTTAGTCAGTTCTTTACATTTCAACTGTTAAAATCTATGTTCTGTTCCTGTCTCTGCCCTCCACTCACCAATACTATGCTGGGCACTGTTTGCTCGGATCTGGAGGAGGTCAAAGCAAAGGACGAGGAGACATGCCAGCAAACAGCTTTGTGTCTCTAATGGAGTCTCATCACCTTGTTACCAGGCATGCTGCTCGGCATGCCTCTGTCTGTGCTAGACACACCAGCAGGTCTGCGCTGCCTGAGGAGGGACACGGTGCTCAGCTCTGTCCATCTCACCTGGAGTCAAGAAGCTTGGTTTTATAAAGGATTCACATATGTGCCAACGAGAGAGAGAGAGAGAGAGAGAGAGAGAGAGAGAGAGAGAGAGAGAGAGAGATTGAGATTTACCTTCCAATCAGTGAGAACTCGCCCACGACACCCAGTCGTCGCATGGCACTCAGGAGTCCCCGCACCGTCATGCCCTCGCAGAAGCAGACCACAACTCTGGCCTTCGGAAGTCGCTCCCGGAGCTTGCGCAGGAGCCGGTCAAAGCTCTTCTCGCCTGCATTACTGTAGATTTTATCTGAGTGTGCGATGCAGAGGCCTTCCTGGGCAGCCAGTTCTTTAAAAGCATCCATTCCACTCTCACCGTAATTCCCTGTTCAGAAACAACCAGCAGATGTTCAAGACCTCTGTGTCAGCCACATCCCTGCCAACTGGAATGAGGACTTGGGGGTCTGGAGGTAAGTGCGTGCAAGGGTGTGGGTATTGCCCAATAATTCATAAATCTAACTGGGGTCGAAAGGAGACCTCCGTGGAGTAAAAAGCATCAGATACAGCCAGCAGTCAATTCTATGAAAGCCAACAGAAATTATATGAGCTAGGCATCCATCCACAGTTGAACATTGTTTGCGAAATGAAGGATTGCTGCCCTACTTTACAGCCATGATTAATAATGCATGCCCCATATTTTAAACACGTGGGAAAGTTGAGCTCATTGGAATATAGGGATCAACTGGATTTCAAGTCAAGGCACAGAAACACAGACTAGAAAAGAAGTCCTGCAAAATCTCTAAACTGGGCACTCTCCCACTACCTGATCAACTGGGGTCCTCATTTCAAATTTTAATAAGAACACAGAAGGAAAGTTAATAATTAATCCAACTGCTGATTGCAACATCTATAAATTTTTCCTCACTGACACTCATATCTTCTGTCATTCTGCCCAACACAAGTCTTAAATGCTTAAGGACAAAGCCAACCCCTGTTCAAGGTCAACAGCTCCCATCGCTTCTTGTCTATTCTAATATTTTCTACTGTGATGCTTCTCCCTTTCTTAGATAATGGATTTCTTCCTTTTTGCTGTGGGACAATGGTCTTGTACCCTGTAAAGATTTGTCACTTGTATTGGTTTAATAAAATCCTGATTGGCCAGTAGCCAAGCAGGAACTATAGGTAGAACAACTAGAATAGGAGAATTCTGGGAAGAGAAAAGGCTCAGTCTGCAGTAGTCCCCCAGATACCGAAGAAGCAAGATAAAAAATATGTCACTAATAAAAGGTAACACAGACAATAATTATGGACTAATTTAAGATGTAAGAATTAGTTAATAAGAAGCCTGAGCTAATAGGCCAACCAGCTTATAATTAATGTAGGCCTCTGTGTGTTTCTTTAGGACTGAACGACTGTAGGAACAGGCAGGAGGGAAACTTCTGTCAGCACCTTTTAGTATGTCAGCTAGAGAAAAATAGTTCTCGGATTAACCGTCCACCTAAGTTACTATTTCATCCACTATTTCAGGTACCCTCAGAAACAACAGCATAGGTCAACAGATTTGCTTCTTAATTTTTCATTCTCTCCTTATTTTCTGTGTTTTTAATTAAGTAACTTGCATTTTATTTGGTTAGAAGTTTACATACATTTAATGTTTAAGCTTCACGAATTTGGACATACATATACCCACCATCTCAAAATTGCCCCACCAAAGTCCTTTGTTATTAAAGCTACCAATCACACCCTGTTGTTACAGCCCATGGTCTTCATTTTAATTAGCAGCTTGCTGTATTCAAGGCCACACATCCCTTAAAGCCTTTGATATTCCTGACTCTTGAAACTCTCTAGTCCCCTCCCTACTAAAAGGCCAATCCTTGGTTCATTTGCTTTATTTTCCATCTCTGCTCATCCTCTGAATGTCGTCATGCTAGGAATCCATCATGGGAAACTCTTGGCTGACTCTCCCACTTCAGGAACCACTCACAGCATATGCCCTCAGGTATTGTTTCAATAGGACTGCTTAGTCATGTACTGTAACTTCAGGCTGAAAGATACTTTAGTGACATTCATTTCCCTTCCTGGCATGTCCTTTTGTGAGCTGCTCAGATTCAACACATTGAATTCCTTCTCTCCTTTGCAAACATGCTTCTTCCAGATAAGGTCTATTAGAAACTCTAGCCTCTCCCCCACCAACTTTCTCAATAACAAAATTGAGGGATTAGTCTAGCATCTGTGTTTTCACCAAATACAGGATCCATTTCTAGAGCCCTCATCTCCAGAGCATTCTTAATCCGGTTTCTTTGCTCTCTTTCAGTCTCTTACCCATGCTTTATGTCCTGTTCCCTAAAAGGAGGAGGCTGAGATAATGATTCTTGTTCAGAGAACTGATGGAGGGCAAGAGAAGCAGAGACGCAGAGGAGGATAGGAGACAAGCGCTAATTAAGCCGGAAGCTTGTCTCAACTAACAATTAGTTGCAGGCTGGTCCACACAGGAGGTGATGGAGAACCTCATTCCACAGGCTCAGCCTCACCTCTGAGCAAGGGAATTCTTGTCAGTCCATCACCAAATATGCTTCCCAAAGGAGGTAAGTCATAGCTTAAATTAATAGATGCCTACTTGGATTGTAACTTTTAAATAAGACATAGATCAGTGAACCAGAGAAAAGGAATCAGGGAAGGTGGCCAAGAGTATCCTCTTCACAAGCACTCTCAGTTCTCAGCTAGGCAACCGCCTTAGCCTCATGATTAGACTCTTCGCTTGTATTGTTGTTCCCAGTAGTTCATTTCACACCTACTGCTCTGATAAAGTGTTGTTCCTTTACAAAAAGTTCCAGTGTCTTTCTAACATGTTTAAGCAGATAAAAGTTCACCTGGACCACCATGCTATACCCAGGCGGGTCCTTCCACCTTCTCCAACTGTGTCTCCTTCTTTCCCTCCCTCACCTTCCTTACTACTGTGGCCACTTTTTTCTTCCTGGAATACCCCCAAACAATCCATTTTCAGCACTAGCCTTTTTCCAGCATCTGAACAGACACTCTTCTAGCAGATAATCTTATCGATCATATTTCAATAGTCATTCTGCTTTGTCTGAAAACTCTTCTAATTAGCTTAAATTACCCTCTCAGAAAACTTTGCTCATGTTCACTACTTTAATCCCAATGTCTTTATCTGATATTTTTGCTTGTGTTTTATTGTACCAAGAACATCAGTTTCTTGAGAGTATCACCATATGACTTGTTCTGTGATGCATGCTTAGTAGAATGGTTTTATATACTTAAATTCATTACTGAGAATTTCACTCAAGAGCATTTGTTATGACAGTCCAATTGAGAAGTGTACAGGAATATAAACAAGTAATTTAAAAATAAGCAGTCAGTGGATAGAAAGTTTACAAAAATCACTGGATCTTATTAACTATTAAAATGGTGCAATTAAAATAAGGCAAATTGTTTTATTTATCAGAATGTCAGTATTTCATTAATAATATTCAGTATTGTCAGACATGGTGATGCATGTCTTTAATCCTACCACTCAGAAGGCAGAAGAAAATGGATCTCTGTGAGTTCACGTCCATTCTTGATGTGGGAGTGTCATATATCAATCTGTTGATTTCATTGGCTGAGCAATAAAGAAACTGCTTGGCTTAGCTTAGAGCATAGATGGGAGGAGGAAACAGAATAGGATGCTGGGCAGAAGAGGAAGTGAGGTCAGACTCTGCTCTGCTTCCGGGGAGACCTGACAGCTCTGCTGGAGCAGAGACGCCATGCTCAGCTCTCCCGGGTAGACGCAATAGCTCTGCTCTCTGAGGCACCCGTGATGAAGATGGATGTAGGCTAGAATCTTCCCGGTAAGCGCACCTTGGGGTGCTTACACACATCATTAGAAATGGGCTAGTCCAGGTGCGAGAATTAGCCTGTAAGGGCTAGAGTTCATGGGCCAAGCAGTTCTTTAAATGAATACAGTTTGTGTGTTGTTATTTTGGGCATGAGCTAGCCAAGCGGCCGGGGTGTTGGGGACGCAGCCCCGCTGCCGCTTCTTATTTCAACAGATGGCGCCCAGACGTGTGGACAACTGAATCCACAGAAAGCCTGAAAAAGCTTGGGAAAGAGTAAAGCATGTTTTCTTGGTAGCAACAATTTTTCGGGTCTACTCTGCTTGCTAGAGGTAAGCAAGCGCTCTCATCTAGGAGAGGCTTCCTGACTCAGCTTCAGCTGCAAAACCCTGCAGCTCATTAAGAGGTCCTGCCACGAAACATTTAAATGGTGTTGGTGAAAAGCTGAACGCATGCTTTTCGGTTTTCAGCCGTAACAGGAAAAAAGCTGCGCCGTTTAAAAATGCTGGCTTTCTGGGCCATCCTGCCAGGGCAAACTCTGAGGAAGGAGGCCCGGCTACAGAGAGAGGACTTGATTGTTGTCTGTTGTAGCTCCCTTGCTGGCAGGGACCTTGAAATGCCATAGAGCTGTGGCAGTAAACTGGCTACAGCCTGTATCTCCTCCATGAGGCTGGAAAGCTAAGGAATGGACTGGATCTAGCTGGCAAAGCCACGGCTTTAATCCTACTCATATTGCTCAGTAAATTAAAGGCTCATGTGTTCAGAAAAAGAGAGAGAGATACAGTAAAAAGAGATTCAAAGAAAAAAAACTTTAAATAATTTACAGTGTGTTAAAAATATATGCAAGCTAAAAGTTAAAAGTTCTTAAAAAAAAGTAAGAAAAAGAGAAGTTGTGTGTGGTAGTACACGCCTTTAATCCCAGTGCCTAGAAGGCAGAGACAAACAGATCTCTGTGAGTTCAAGGTGTAGTGGCAAACACCTTTAATCACAATGCCTGGGAGGCAGAGACAGGCGGATCTCTAAGAGTACAAGGAGAGCCTGGTCTACAGAGTTATTCCAGGTCAAAGAGATACAGAGAATATGAAATAAAAGTAAAAATAAACGAAATAGAGGTTAAATTAAGCGTACAAAGATGGAAAATACACAGAGAATCTTGATACTGTATACTATTGTGCTCTCTTTGAATTGTTTGAATGCTGAGGAAGGAGCAACAGCTGCCAAAAGATATTTGTTTATAAATGCTGCTGAACTAATCCATCCTAGAGATTTTGATGCCTTGACTTTGAAATTTGGATCTAAGGACATGATGCTTTCGAAAGGAGTTTCCTATTTTGTTTTCACAGAGGATGAGAGTCTGTTCATTGCTTCTATTCCGATATGGTATGATGGACCACGCCCTCCTGAACGGTTGCTGTAAACATCTTCAGAAAATTGCTTCACTCAACTGCCAACTGAGATGAAACTAACACACAGGTTATACCATGAAAGACCTAATTAACGACGCCCCCATTCAGCAGGAAGCAGTTTGGAGAGAAATAACTGCGCCCATGTT